GCCACACGTATTTCAATTAGCAGACGTATGTCGATATGTTGATTGTACCTGACGATTGTTGGTTTTACATCATACTTTTATTCAGATACTAATAATGGTAAATTATTACACCATCATTTCTCAAAAGAGCATTCTCCAAATGAATTTGTTATAGACTGAAAAAGGACTTATTTATACGTGTTATGACCTCGTAGTTAGATCATGTGGTGGACTATAACCTGTGTAGCATGATGTTTTCTCTCTCTGTTACTTCATGCATTTTCGTTTTCTCTCTCTCATTTTCTTTTACTCTTATATAAATTCAAACTGTTTCGTAGTCCATTTCATGCTGCTTTTCTTATCTTCAGGGTAGGATCAAATATCCCACCGTTGTGTTCCTGTATTTTTTTACTGGTCATGGTCGCTAATTACTTCTGAATTAATATTTGATTCATTTCATTTATTATAATACGTTCACATTCAGTCAGCACAGCTTAGCGATTCCTTTCTCTGAGCAGATTTTGTTTAGCTTGTCCAGATTCCACTAGGCGTTGATCACGGCTCATTCACAGAGGAGTGGCACTGAACTCATTTCTTGTGTTTACTGGCAATTTCAGTATCCGAGGGCTAGCAAATGCGGAGTTCGCTGTGGACAATCAAGCAGACATTTGAAAAAAAATCGAAAATGAGCTTTTCGCGAATTAAATAGTGTCCATTATACTCTGATTAACGGCCGATTTAATGGTGAAAACTTTTTTATTCCTCTTGATTAGGTTCTTGGAAAGGCGCAGAAAACGGTCAGCTTACAGCCACCTGAGAGAAAAACGCCATGTTTCATAAACGATAGAAAGAAGGAAAAGAATAAATCAAACATAGTCTGAAACTAGAGCTCGTGCTGTATCGATTTCTAAAAACGTTTTGTTTTAACACTTTCCAGTTGGAAAAGAATGCTCCTGCTTTCTTCACCAAGTGTTTTCTCAAAAGGCGTCTTCAGTAAAGTGAATGCGCGAACTTTAGCGTAGCTGAGATCTTGATGCACCATTCACAGAAGATTCTTCTCTATCTGAGACGTATCCTCACTTAACCCAAAATAGCCCAAATGTTTCTGGAGTGAGATACCGGTTTTGCAAAAAACCTTGAATTTTTTTGAGAGATTTTTTCGAGCTCAGTAACACTGTTAGACAAAAGTAACGAAACATTCAGAATCAGCGTGAAAAACTCGTCGAATAATGTCTCTTTCAACGATTTCTAAACGAAATCATTTTTCAATAATACCTCAGCCTTAGGTGGAAAACCTATTACTGAGTCTTTTTCGTACGCAGCGACGTTAGACTAAGTTTGTGATGTTCGGTTGTGGTATGGTAAGGTTATGGATAAGGGTTAGGCCTTGGATCTTAGGATTTTATTGTAGCAATCTGTGTTTGAGGATATAGTTAAGACGGTTAGCTCAGTAGGCAGCTAAATGGTATATTCCGCCTGGCTCACATTGCAGTTTGTGAGCAGCCGCTAATCGCTCGGTCGAGGCCACACTCACAGATTGCTATTTTTGTGTTTGTCTTTGGATTGCCGTACTGCGTGAAACGGTTCAGAGCAGTATAAAAGGTATGGAATTCTTAAAACCTCGGAGGCTTCCACGACCTTTAGGAGGTGTAGATCTTCGAAGCTTTGCCAGCCAGCTTCTGAACAATTTTTTATGATTGAATCTGAATTCAGCACACGCAAAAATCTATAAAAAATATTTGTCTAATAAAAAGTAGACATTTTTGAGAACAGGTTGGTCTTCAGAGAACTAAGAATTTCTGAAAAAGCAAGTTTGAAGCATTTCTTAGTTCAATGTGCAAAGAGCACATCCGAAAACCTATAAAAACAGGATTTTTAAGCTTTTGGACAGGTTATAAACCAATGTCGCTTGCCTATTCAAAATTGCCTACTGTACACCTGACGCCATTTGCCTATTATTATTACTATTCAAGCATAAATTCACTGTTCGTGTGAGAGCCCTTTGTTTTTCTCTTTTTTTCAGTTTCCGTTTATTTACATTTAAATTCGTCGATTAACACGGATAAAATTAATTTGTTATTGAATTAAAATTTGTTTGTTTTGTTATTTAATGATCGATTTTTTCGTCTCTATTATCTTCACTTTGTTAAGATTATACTTTATTTATTCATATTATGATATAGTAAACTAAAACCTTTCAACTGGAAATTTTTATGCATGTTTTTAAGCATTCTTGCTTTGGCGCCACTTCTAATGTAGCCAAAGATAACAGTCTTGTATAGGAAAAGCTGTGTGGTATATCTTGTAGGCTTTTTGGAATACAACAAATACAATACGTTTTATTTTGTGATGGCTTTGGGCTTAAAACTTTTCTATTATTCAATCTAATACACGTGCGCTTAATAGATGATATGTTTGATGAAAATTTTGTTAGTCCCAACAAAACTTCTAGGATTTCTTGTGATTTACTTTTGTATATTAGTGAACTAATGGTGTTATAAGCTGCGCTGAGTCATGAATCATTGTTCGAATAACTCACGTTCACCTTGGAACCAATATCTGAAGAGCGGCTTGGGTAATTCAACGAATTTTATTTGTTTATAGAACTTTTCTTGAGGCAGCTGGGATAATCATTTCATCATAACATCCGGAAATCGCCGTCGCCGCGGATTCGGTGTTAAAGTGTTAACACTTTATCACTTTAATATATACGAACTCGTGGCGAGTGAGGGTGAGGGTGGAGAAGTGAGAGTGAAGTGGGTGAAGAAGTGTTCCACCCTCATCCTCACCCTCAATTATGCACGTTTACACTTTAACACTTTAACACTTTAACATATAAGAATCCGCGGCGACGGCAATTTCCGGATGATGCCCTTTTATTTTTTTTCGGGTCCACCGTTATTTTTTAGACTTATGCTTTGGAATTGTCTAGAACTGTATTGCTTGCATTTTCTAACGAATCTCTTTTCTATTAGTCACAGATGTCATCATTATTTTTGCTTAGCGTTTTTGGTTTTATAGTCCACCAAAAATAATCAGAACCGTTTCGATCTACTATGTATGTTTTAATATTAATGTAAGAGTAACAGCAATTGTTTTGAAATTCAATTCTTACATTTATATCGAAATTGCCACCCCACAACAAGTCAAATGTTTTAATATTTTTGCTCATTTAGAATAAAAACTTATATCTTAGCATCCTGACATTCAATGTGATAAAAAGGAAACATTATTTGCGTAAGAGTTTTGACTTAAACTAGATTGTTTTCATAAGTGATTGTTCATCGTAAAAGTATATATGTAAAAGACAAGTATCTAGAAAGCCGTGTAAAGTATGTAGGTTATTTCAGGATGAGTATCCTATGATCAACGTTTCTCAACTAGCCACTACGATAGATATATCATTCGACAGACAATTCCTTGCGCTACAAGCTCATATATATATATGATAGTGACAAAAGTATCCTAGGACCCCTTGACATTAGAAATACTGTCTGGAAAGGCGTGAAAAGTGGGTAGCTTATTCCACAATGAGGATCCTATGATCAACGTTTCTCAACTAGCCACTGCGATAGATATACCATTCAATAGAGAATTTCACGAGCTTTAAAATGAGTTATAAATAAATCTTTCAGAAATATGTCCACATGGCTCAACAGCTGAAACACTTAGCCGATATAGTGATTTTGACGTATCTTAGTGCTTTCAACACTCCGTTAGTCGTTTTTCTGCCATAATGAAATTATATATTGTTCGAAAACATACCACTGGATAGCCCTTGAAATTCTCTACAAAGTGAGCTGATCACAATATCCAGACAGGTCGGGCCAGTCATTAAAGATATGGAAAAGAAGCTTTTGGGTGTTATCTAAGCAGTACAGTGCGTCATAATCACAAGAACTCTCTTGTTTTTGGCCTTTTAGTAAAAGCTGGAACCAATCTGAATAATGTTTCGAATAGCCCGAAGATTTTTCTATTAGATTAGGTGCATATCGACATTTCATAAGAAAAGTTGGTAATAGAGCTTCTGGAAAGCCTGACCGCTGAAAAACCAAGTCCTTAGTTTTTAGTGAGAAAATTTTGCAAAAACCATATAGCCTGATAGAGCGAAACATTCTGAGCAAAATAAGACTTCTTCGGGCATTCTATAGTGCTTTTTCATACAACTGCAGTCGATTTACTACCCATAATGGGCGTGAAAGGTACCAAAATATTCCAGTGAAAATGAACTAATGCCCAGAGAAGTCTTATTTTTTGCTCAGAATGTTTCGCTCTATCAGGCTATATGGTTTTTGCAAAATTTTCTCACTAAAAACTAAGGACTTGGTTTTTCAGCGGTCGGGTTTTCCAGAAGCTCTATTATCAACTTTTCTTATGAAATGTCGATATGCACCTAATCTGATAGAAAAATCTTCGGGCTATTCGAAACATTATTCAGATTGGTTCCAGCTTTTACTAAAAGGTCAAAAATAATCGAATTTAATGTGTTTGTTACAATTGCGACGCATAAAAAAGTGTGGTTTTTGTGAAAATTTGGTCAAAGGCTTTTTTATTCTCTAAAATCATTTCGTGAATGGAACCATACTTCAGGTTATCTTACTTCTACTTCAGCTTATTCTTGTTGCTTGAAAATTTCAATAGAGACAAGATTTACATATATTATTATCCATAAGAAAATAGAATGTGAATGAATGATTTTTGAATAAATTTTGACAGACAAACTAAATGTGCCATTGGTTCGTTAGTTCAGAATATGATTCTGATAATACTCATGAGGAAAAAGCTGAAAAAATTGTTTAATGAAACTGACCTTATCGGCTCTCATCTCCTTTTAAAAAATTATCCGGACATCTTGAAACTCATGAACATCCTCACCTTTTCGATCCAATATGGCTGACTCTTGACGGATGTCTATAACGGATGACTCCAACATTATTTTTACCTCCTGCTGCCATAACACCATCAATAGAATCTTTTGACCATCCTTGCACCGTATATCTATAGTAAGTTGTAACAGTATTTCATCCACCGACTCCTGGAACTGACCGTACTTGTGTTCCTAAACTATTTGCAACATATAAATTTCCAATGTCATCTAAAAACATGCTTTGTGAAAGACCAAAGTCGTCTCTGTAATTAAAAGCACTTAGTGCCTGAGCTTTGTATTGTGCTACCGCTAATCCACTTGTAGTATTTGGAGTCCATTTTGCGACTCGTCCTTTGTCGTTAAGGCGATATGTATCTGTTACATATACATTGTTATTTTTGTCAACAACTGCAGCAAACAGACCACCGCTGGCTTTCTCAACAGTTATTCCATTGTAATTCCATGTCGCAGTTCCACATGTTACGCTACCAGTTGTTGTATTTTCTTCTAAACAAAAAAATAATGTATAAACTTCAATAAAGATCTTTTCTCTATGCCTAAGTTAGTATATTTGTCGAAGTTCTTTCTTGTGACTCATTTCTACTGTACATACTGTCCAGAGAGATTTCATAAAAGCCACAAAATGGTGGATGAAATCCAAGTTCTGTGTTTTTTTGCCTAATGTAACTCGCGACAGTCAGTTTGCTAAGATGTAATTTAGCGTCCGTTGGATGTAAGCCTCAACGAAAATATTAAAGCGACTGTCTGAAGTTTCTTTAAACATAGGGACATTTGCAGTGCAAACATGTTGACGAATTTTCGTGAAATGCCTGACGAAAAATTTCGACTCCTATTGAGATATATTTGCATTTTGCGCAAAACCCTAAGAATCCAACATAATATAAAATATGCAGCAGGCACTGCCCACTGCCGCAATTTTTACATAAATGTGCCATTTTTTTGGATTTATTATCTTTTTCAAGGCAAAAATCAATTTAAATCAATTTTTTTTGAAAAGAAATCTATTTAAATTCGCACGAAAAGTTACGCAGAATGAATTTAAATAAACTTTTTTAAAAGTAATTTAAACAGTCTTTTCATGCAGAATGAAACCAAATAGATTTACTGGTCCAACATGTGTAAATCTATTTCAAACTGTGAATACATTTAAATTTCTTTAGAAACAAAAATCTACTTAAATTGGTTTCGAAAACGAAAAAAATGTATTTAGATACCCTTACTTTAAAAATTAATTTAAATAACTTTCAAAAGATCTATTTTTTACTGAATTTTTCGAAAAATATCTATTTAAAGAAATTTATTTTGGAAAAAACAATCATTAAATTCATTTCTTTTACAAATGAATGTGAACTGCAAATACATTTAAGTAGATTTCACAAAATAAATATGTTTCAATGCATTTGTTTACAAACAATAAATTTGCTGAAATAGATTGTTTTAAAAATTGACTTGAATAAATTTTTCTTATCAACTTTTTCAAATAATTGCCCTCTTCTCTTCATTCACCGCTCCATCCAATGTTATTCAACATGGTACACATTCCATTCTTCAATATTAATACTTACACACCAACGTTTTTCCATACGTTAAGGTATATGTATATATTCAGATTTTGATAAACCTGGATCCACACCAACTTCTAAACCTACTTCCCCTCTCTCATTAGCAAATAAATCTGCCAAGTAAATATCAACTTCGTCGTTTAAATTAGCCATTAAGTCTATCTGAGCGGACAATTATTTTGTAAGTAATATAAGCATATATATCTATCTAAGTAATATATATCACATCCACAAGAATGAGCTGTGGGGTACTGACTGAGATTTCTCTATAAGAAGATGCTGTCTCTCAGAGTGATGTAATTTGTTCATGGCTTAGCATCAACCACAAGAAAGAAAGAGTACATCGTTGATGTATAAGCACAACTAGAAGCTTTCTGAGAAAAGTCAACGATCTGAAACGAGATATGAGAACCATGTCTACAAGATGCATTTTAAATGACATTTCTTACATATATATTATATGATATCCCATATTATATGATATCCCATATTATATGATATCCCATATTATATGATATTCCAACATCATTCCATCTGATCTTGACCACTTTCTTGTCTCTAATTCAGTGATCTAAATGTCACTGGTATAAGAAAGCGGAATTTATGCGGACATTGCAAGTGTCGCGCGCTTTGTTTCTTCGACTTATAAACTTGCGATTTTTCTTCTCTAAGTTCATTTCTACTTTTTGTTCTAAATGTGTTGGAGTTTTCTTTTCTGAGTTCAGAAGGAGCAGCCCGGTCTACTCGCAGTAGACCAAAGAAAAAGAAACAAGGAGGCTGCTGCAACAGATTTTACATATGCTTTTCACATGTATTTAAATGTCTTCAAAATGTTGTAGAGATTTAAACAGATGTTTAAAAGAAATCATATAAATGGATTTAAACGAATCTTATGCTTTTAAAATGTGTAAATAGATTTATTTGGAAAATGTGTTCAAACCTATTTGTTTAAAACTCAGTTCGAACTTCTTTGGCGTTGTGAAGATATGTAAGCACATTTGTAAAAAAATACATTTAAACACATTTCGCAGTCACTTGCATTTAGGGTGATTTTATTTTCAAAACACATTTGAATATATTTTAAAATCAAGATATGTGATTAAATTTTTCAGTGCAAAATACATTTAAATGCCTTTCCGATTCGAAATCTCTTCAAATGCATTTTTAAGATAAATCAGTTTATAGGTATTTTATTCTAAAAGTTGTTTAAATGTATTTAGTAATAAAGAGATTTGAATAGATTTCACCAGATACGTCGGTTAAAAATGTATTCAAAGGGATTAATAAAAGCAATGCATTTAAATATATTTATTGTAAAATTGCATTGAGGAGATTTAGAATATGAAAGACATTTAAGTACATTTCTAAAATAAGTGAGATAAGCAAATTTCTTTTTAATATGAATTTAGATGAGTTCTTTAAAAGCATTGCTCCAAATATCTTGTATATCCCAAATTTTTATAAATATGTTAGGAAACCAAATCAAAAGAAATGGCACATTTCTTCAAAAAACGTCGCAATGGGTGGCGCCACCATATCTTGAAAACTACGTTTACCTTTACACCATTTCGTAGCTACAAGCTTTTTTAGTAACGAAACATCATTGAGAGCATGGGCTGGTCTTAAATTGAAGCTGACAGTTTCTAACGAGGTGGAGGCAGGGTGCTTAAGAGAACATCGGCTTTCAGAAAATTTCTAAGACCATTTTAAATATTTATTTCAGATTTGAAACGTGATGGCTTCAACGGTATTGATTATATATCTCAACAGTCTCTTATTTGTTTATTATTATGTACCGTAACTATCAAATATCAAACAACCCAACAGCACCACCAATAATTATTGGTGCTGTTTATTTAAATATGAGTTATATTTAAATATGAGTTTTATGTACAGTCGCCAACAAATGTATGTTCAATTTTATATAAGAAGTCTATTTGAACAATCTGCAAGATGGGAAAAGCGGATTCGCGTATTCCGGAATTCTCATATATTCGGAGGTATTCACAAGTATCCGCACGTATTCTAATTCCTCTTAAAGTTTTCCAACGAAACTTCCTTGGGAAACTTTTAGAGGAATGAGAATACGTGCGGATACTTGTGAATACCTCCGAATATATGAGAATTCCGGAATACACGAATCCACTTTTCCCCCCTTGACAACCTGTTAATGGTTTTGTGTATGTTTCAAATAATATCGGGAAAACTAATACTTCCAGTTGCATTTTTTATGTGAATTCAGGCGTGGATGACGGATTTATCGGAGATGAAAAGATGTGTAAACGAAGTCTACAAAGAAATGAAGAAGAACAAGGAGGCGGTGGTGGGAGAAATATGGACAACGGAACAAACAGCGGTCAAAACAGTCCTTATCAGTAATAAAAATGCTCCAGTTTGCGTTTTTACTACTGTTGTTGTTATCTGTGGTGCACTGTGTAGATCATCTGAAAAAGCAGTAATAAGATAAGTCAGAGCTTATTACTCTTATTATTATTAATCTTATGTGGATTTTGATACTATCGACAGGTTTTCAAATGATTTTCAAAATGGATACATCAGTTTTAATGGCTCTATTAAGATATACAGCAAGGAAGATAAGATTTAGTGGAAAATATGTACACATTTCAAAATATAGAGATTTATTCTTTTCTGTCTATTCCATCATTATTTAAGAAGAAAAAATCACTTTACACTATAACTTAAAAGCTTTTTATTCTTTGTTGTCCTTACGTGTGTTTCTTTTCTGATATCCTACTGGTTATCACGATATAGATGAATATGGCGATAAGGTGCACTGATTTGTTTACAGTGCTTTAACGCAATCTCAAGTCTATCGCGATATGAACACGAATTAACGTGATACTTTTACAAAATATTAAAATACAGACAGGAAACACCTTAACTAGATTAAAATAAAGCAGGAAAACGGTAAAAAACGCAGTTATTCTTATCATTTTTTAAGGATTAATTTTGTATTAATTGTTACTTTTTAAGTTTAAGTGTCTCTTCGTACACGCACCACGATTTATTTTTCTTTTCTATTTCGATTGAATGATGAATCATAGTCAAAACATCTTTAACTGAAAGCTTTTTTGAGAGTATACGTCTTTCATGTTTTCAACACGAAGCAACTCCCTTACAGTCATAACAGTCATATCCACAGACTACTCTTTTTGAATTTTTATTTTTGTATCCAAATGTTGATCTGAATATATGTTACAAACGGTTACTAGATTTGAAGGCAAAAATCGTCTGTTTCAACAGGTGTTTGAGTATAGTCCTGAGTTTGTTAATTAAAGTCAATGTACATATTGCATCATAAGGAGCAGGAATAAAGACTTTTTTGATGTGTTTGTTAACAGGCAGATTTCTTTGTGTTAATTTACCTTATTTTTACATCTCTAATCAGCTTACTTATCACATTCCTTATCAACAAAGTCAAAAGAATCTTTCCAGCATGAATCAACCTCTGACGTTCTTGCTAATAATACGTTAGCCAAATATTTATGATTCATGATTTTAAGCACCGGGTACCTCAGGCTTAGATTCAAGTGGGTGTTAGTGTAGAGTTATATGGCGCGCTCTATCGGTTTACGGGCTATTGCACGAGAAAACCTAAGATCCTCAGAAGACCTTCGGTGTCGGACTCAAGGTCCGACGTAAAAGCGATCTGATCGCTTTACCGGATAGCCCGTGCAATGGACTACATAGGATGAAAAAATCCCTCTTCTAGCACTTGTCTTGACGAAGAAGCAGAATCATATCACCGGAAAAAAAATAAAGTTCGTTTAGAGTTGCTGAAAAGTGGTTTTTCGTATTCAGCACACTCGATAACCCAGAAGATTTTCTATTTTTGGCTCGGGGTACTTCCGAAAGTTTAGGAAAAATTTCAAATTAGTATTATTTTTCCATGGAAAACTATTTGCACCATTTTGTTTCAAAATTTTTCTTAAACTTTCGGAAGTACCCCGAGTCAAAAATAGAAAATCTTCTGGGTTATCGAGTGGGCTGAATACGAAAAATCACTTTTCAACAACTCTAAACCAACTTTATTTTTTTTGTTCCGGTGATATGCTTTATTTTTGCTCTCTATTTTTGGTACCATTGAATTTCGAGAAGTTCATTAGAAGGCGTATCCTATCTAACATCATACTGTTCTATTTTTCTTTCGTTCTCTGTCCTCGTCATAAACGGTCAGCGCAACTGAGTGACAAAAGTCACTAGAAACCATAACTGAAAAATGAGCAGAACCTAGACTTGAGCTGATTTAGTGTCTAAATAATAGTCTGTTTTTTCTAGCATCATAGTTCAGCTTAGGACTAGATATATATGCTTATATTACTTATAAAATAATTGTCCGCTCAGATAGACTTAATGGCTAATGTAAACGACGAAGTTGATATTTACTTGGCAGATTTATTTGCTAGTGAGAGAGGGAAAGTAGGTTTAGAAGTTGGTGTGGATCCAGGTTTATCAAAATCTGAATATATACATATACCTAAACGTATGGAGAAACGTTGATGTGCAAGTATTAACATTGAAGAATGGAATGTGTACCATGTTGAATACAAGATATCTAAAAAAGATGTCATCAAGTACGATGAGAAGAAACCCAATGAATTCTATAGAGGCAAAATCGGTTGGGTAGCAGGTGGCCATATACAAGTGTTTGGTGATGAAATTTCGGTGTGGTATCAAGTCGGTGAATTCGGTGATTGGGTTTCCACAAATGAATTGTATTTCCCAACACCAAATGCAGATGATATGCGTGCTTTCTTCACAGTTAATATTAATCACATAAAAGACATTACTTTTGAACCAAAAAGCACAGATGTGGATACACGCCATCAGATTTTGATCAATAGTTGCTGGATTTGTAGTTACATCAAAATCAAAAGAATACATTATAGTTGATGATCCAATCGCTTTCCACCCTTCGTCAGATGCGTTTTTCGAATTCGCGAAGCGATACCACAGTAATGCTTGGACAGCAGCTGCTGCAAAAACAACTAGTTGGCGACGAAGCAATCATGCCACGGGAGCTGAGATTGCTACAGAGTTTCCAAAACGATGGTTAATGAAGGAAGGCTACTGGGATTCAGATCAAGGCAAAGCAACAAGAATTCAGAAACAAAAGAACGCAACATCAGCATTTTACATAGCCACCCATGCTGTTTCTGTACACTCTGTATTGGCATTGATGGTGCCTGCGACTAAAGTGCATTGGGCATATATCGATCCAAGCTTTGGTTGTATAACATCTTGGGACGTAAGAGCATCAACAACAGTTCGAATGGTACCAAATAGT